TAATTAGGAACAGGTCGATTGCTTTGAAAATGTAGACCCCTCACATGAAAAGATAAATCAAAATGCAATAACTGTTGTTATGCATTTCTCTATTAATCAATCCATTGGTGTTTTTTCTGGCTCCGCCTACCTTGATAATTGCTTTCTACCAATTCTGCCTTCACTAGAGATGCTTTTTAGACTGAATGTTTGTGTAATTTGATTAGATACATGTATCCGACAGAGGTGATTGCCAACGTTAAAATAGTGCTGGAAATTATTTACAATCACCATAAAGGTATTTCTTTTATATTGACAAAACAAACAAAAATGGCAGACGACTTGTAGAAACTGGCAGAACACCTTTTCTAATTTGGAAAAAAAATCAGGCCCTTAAAATATTTTTTAAGTAAATGTAATGAACTTCAGCAGCAGAAATTTTATGAAGGTAAAAATATTTTTATTATTTTTTCGTCAAAGATTTCAATATTCGCCCCGATAGAAAAAATAACTAGAAAAAAAAAAGGAAATGAAAGGTGAGTTGATTCCTCAGTTTTTGTTTACAAAGAAAACATTGAGTTATTTTGCTTCATGTAAACTTTAAAAGATAATCAAAATATTTTTTTATAATTAACGATAAGATATCTAAGTAAATGACAAACTTTTGTAAACAAACTTTGTTAATATTTAATTTGAATACGAGTCTTTCTAAATTGACACGATATATACTGACACGCAAAAGAAATGCAACACCCTACTTTAGGGGGAAATAATTATGTAAAGTAAAGAATTTTGTAACTTAAACTTATGAATATCTTCAATTTGGTAAACATCGGTATTTTTACTGTTGAACGATTTCCATTCCATAACCGGAAGTCAAGTTTGAGTCTGCTTAAGGTATTCAATCCCTAATGGGAACAAATTCAGTGAAATTGAATACATAACTGATGCGTAGGCATTGAATACTCAATTTATTTATACATATTTCCCATTTATTACTACATGTATTAGTATGTATAGTGGGATGTGTCCTAATTTATGACCTGGAGTTCTGTTAAGAGTTAACTACACTTTTTTATTAATAAAAAAATCAATTAAAAAAAATTAGCCGGTAAAAAAAAATTTTTCAATTGTCATTCGATTTTTAATGTTTAAATGCACCTTTCCACCGCAGGATTAATTGATAGTAAAATTAGTTGAATTTTTATTTCGAATAAACACTTTTTCCTTCAGTGCAATCTTTTTTTAATTAACTACTGCTTAATTAATGATATTTTTAAAACTTTCTCGCTGGCAATCGTTTTCCACTATAAAATGCTTTAATATAATATCAGTGTATTATGTACTTGACGGACATTTAAGGGTAGGGAATTAGGTCCCATTAGCGATGGAAATCCTTTACAGAAATCAAAAATTGTATGTTTAACAAAACATTTGGCAATATTATGGAGTTTTAAGGGTTTTTTTTACTGTTCATCATAAGTAAAACAGCAAAATTTCAAAAAATAAACTCTCCTTTCGTTTCCCCGCAACGATCCTAAGGCTACTTGAAAATGGCTTATGTGCGCATTTCCAGTGCTCTAGCTGGAAAATTTCACTGTAAATGAGTTGCTTATGCGAAATTTCACTACATAAGCCTCAAAAGGTCTTACGTATCATATGCATTAAGGACAGTCCTTGTACCGGAAGTCCAAGGGTGCTACACTGCTCTAAGTTAGAGAAAATTCGACCTAATCATCTGAAAAACGGGCATTTGAAAATGCCAAAGAATATTTCCTTCGCTCAGATCTCGACGTTAATGAACCTATTGTATCGTAGAAATTGAGCTGCAATTGCTTTTATTTAGGACAGTCTTGCACGTTTTACTTGAATGGCTGGGATGGGGTGTTTTAACAGTCATAATGTTACTTAGTAAAGTTTAAAGATAAACATTTAACATTTTTATCAGATCTCTGATATTCTGAAAAGTGAGTTTAGCCTTAATTTATTCGCTTTTAAAAATCATAAGATAAAAAAAATCAAACATTTGTAGATTACTGTTTGTTGCGTTTCTTTTGCGTGTCAGTATATTTATGTCCATGACATCATTTATTTCAAGAACATTCAAATTGGAAAGGCAAAAATTTGCTCAATATCCTAAATGGAAAACTTTATGATGACACACATAAAATGTATATTTATTATCTTTAATGAAATTACTTTTTTGGCAACAATTGCTCTTGACAATAAATCAATGGGAGTATATTGATAAATTATTTTGTTCTTCAAAAGTTATAAAAAATAAATGTTTACAGGAAAACGCGTCCTTAAATAGAAAAGGGTCTTAAACTGAATAAAGAAATACTTATACTTCACTTTTTCATATTTTGTATTATTTTCCATTTAGTATGTTCCATGTATCTCAAAGCAGTTATATCTTAGGTTTCTTACCTTATATTGATGCACAAAAATATGCCCTACAGTGTTTAAATTGAGTTTTTATTCTCCATTTTTCCGGTCCAATTACTTTATTCATATCGGCATAGATGAAATTATATCAGTGTACATGTAACTTTAATTTTTTTCAGGGAAATAATAAGGTTTAGAATTCTAAAAATAAAGCCTCTTTAATCACAGTGCATAGTGACCTGGAAAATTACGTAGTATTTGAGACAGCTTTAACAACAAAAACTTAGCACATGTAATTTTCATATCATACAATATGTGTAAAATTCAAATGCTCCTTTTTTTCTTATTAACTTTAAAAGTATCAGATGGTGAAACTCGGCTCAATATCGTCTAATCAAACAATGACATAAGCATAACAAAACCGTGTCTTGTTTATATTTCTTGAATGCAGGAAAAAAACAACTATGACGTCACACATATGCTTAACAAGCAACAAAGGTGCACCTAAATAAGATTACAGATCAGTCATGTACAAACATAATATTTTTTCCATACTCTCAAAAGACCACATCATATTGTGATTGTGACCTTCATAATTCTTATGATACTGTCAGTGTATTCAACAAGTTTGCTATTGCTCCACTAACAGATCATGTATGAGGTCACCAACCAGTTGGTCTCGCAATGCAGGAAACAGAGGATAAAAACAACATATTCCTTACAGAGGAAATAGAGGATAAGAACAACATATTTCTTAATTTGTACATGATTTAAAAATTTTTAATTTTTCTATTATATTTATATAAGATCATGGTAATTAAAGTATACAAAAAAATAGTAAAATTAAATATACAGGAATGGTTTACATGATGTAAACTTATATAAACGGATACTTTGACATAGTTAAACAGAGTAATGTTACCATTTGTTTTTCATCACCTTTATGATAATCATTTTTACATGTGTGCAATGTGAATGCAAAGATAATATAAAAAAAATTAATAACATCAACTTCGAAATTAAACGATAAAGATTTTTAAAAATGAACGATAATCCATAAAATATTTAAATTAACTAAACGAAAATGAAAAATCAAATCAATATGAAAAAAGTAGGATGACACCACCTAAAAATATCAAAGATTCCACTCGATTCATCTGAAATTGGCTGGTTCCAATTTAGATAAAACCTATTGACGTTTTACCAGGATAGGTGAATATCATTAATTGTTCATCATATTGATTTATTGCTATCTCCATGGTATTTGAAGAGAGAACCACGGTCCTACGAAGATAGCTTTATCAATTATTTGCAATCAATCCTGAACAGTGTTCAATAACAGGAAATCACAAAGTTTGGGACAAAGAGAGTCTTCTTTTATAATTCATATATTGAATGTTAAGGGGAAAATCGATCCTTTACATTGTCTCTTAATGTTTTGAAAGATGAATATTTTATTTGAAATGGGTTTCTGACATTTAATGCATTTTATTATACTCCTTTGCATATAGATTTCCATTTTCCTCCAACAATGTATTGTAGCGATGATGTCACGTTATTTCAAGAAAGGTAGTTAAAATATCGATAGATTTATAATTTCTACTCAAGTTTCCTTTTCTAATGAAAACATAAATGTCTATAAAATTGCATTTGCTGTGTCCTAACATCTCAATAGCAAATCAATATCTCTTTAATTTAGTTGGTATTTTGTCCTCATTTATTTTCAAACGATTGTCGTATTGTATAACGCTTCTCAATGAAGTAAACAATAAGAACATATTTTGTTGTGTTTGTTGTTTCTTGTTAATTTATTGTTCTACAATTTAGGCGCCACATCAATAATGGTAGGGCGTTTTTTCACGTGTAATGAACCGTAAATAACAGGTAAATATTGTCCAAATCATGGTAAAATCTGACTAATTATAATCATTTTTAATGTTATTTTTTAATAAGCATCATAAAATAATGTTATTATTCCATATTTAGATCATTTAAAGAAATAACACTTCAATTAAATAATATTTGTTTGTCAGTTAAACAAAAATTTTTAAGCATGGTTTCCTCAGCATAAATCTCATAAATTTTAATTGTAGATAATTCACTGTGTGTATTAAAAATATCAATCTTTTGTACAGCAAAAATATTGAGAAATTTTATGCCTTAAATAATGTTGAAATAAAAAGTACTCCAAAGTAAAATTTTTTATAGACTATGGAAAATGGCAGGATCTAGATCAGGTGTTGTGACACGCTGGCAAGCTGAGAAAGGTAAATTATTATTTTTTTTGTAAAAAAAATAAGAGGAAAGACATTGTAAAACAGCCTTGTAAATTATATTTATACACAGGTATGCTTACTGGTAAGTTCTATTTAATTGGTTCTTCACAATTAGGAAGTACCTAGACCGGTAAAAATACGCTTTCGCCAGCAAGTAAGTATTTATCATTTAGCCAGTTGCTGACGGGCTTTTTTCACACCAATTGTTAGCCCATTATGTTTACACTGAATTGACGACAGATTTTTCTGTTATTTACTAATCATGACATCATACTTACAGTGCTAGTATTCTATTTCCTCAGGATTTTTAACTAAATAATAATCAGTATATGGGTTTGAGTTTCTACGTATAAAATGAGTCAAAAAGAATTTCATTTCTTCGATATTTTCTGCACATTGTGACCAATAAATCCAACATTCAATCAATTTAATTTGAATTTTTAATTCATAAAAATTGCATCGGAAAAAACATTACAGTAAGAAATTTTACATTTTGGTAATCAATAATTCTTAGGTAGAAAGCAATCCTTTTTTTCAAAGTTGGATGGAGGAAGGAACAGCCCGATATAATAAACGACTATGATGCATAAAAAAGGAAATATCAAAACCAGATGAAACTTTTTCGAAAGGGGATGAAAAAAAGAAGATTTTCGGCATTAAAAGCAGTAGATAAACCCCACACCACCCCCACCCCTTACTAATTTAATGATAAAAAATGAAGGGTTGTACTAAGTTTAGAGCCTCCTAACTCCATGCATGATCAGATCATGCAATGTTTTAACTTTAGATGAAACCTGAAGATATGCCTTTACGTAGGACATATTTGATTACCCCACTTAAGACTTAAATAAATCTTATGGTATGCCATAGTCCTTAGATGTCTTCGAATTCAATAGCACGTCTGCTAGTTAATTTTAAACTTAATATTTTTAGGTTTCTGTTTGGCTGATCCAATACCATGGAAACGGGTCCGAGTAAACAGGTACAATAAACTCAATTATAAAATTTATGTGGACATTCCATTATAAATATGATTAGAATATGCTTCAGTAACTACAGAAAACATCTTTATAATTAAGTTAAAAGTTTATGCAAGCTTTAAAAATATGTTCTTACGCAGTACTGTTAAGGCTTCCTGGAGCTTAAAATGCATTTAAAACGTAACACTGCATTTCAAAGCTGATTTTGAGTTTTATTTTTAAGTTATGTACTTCAGTACGCCAAATCCATACAGAGAATCCAATAGGCTATATATAAACATATTTGTTACGATGTCACATGACCTTGTTAATCACGTGACGGCCATTTCTTTTTTGAAATGTTTCACATAAATCGCTTTGGCGCAGGTTATTTACACAATTGTTATGAACATTTTGTCAAATAAATAAACTCGTTTCATTCTTGTGAAACCAAAATGTGCTTGGGAAAAGTTATACTATTTCTTTGGAACAATTTATTTCATATTAACTTCAACCTTACCGACAAATCTGAGGGTATTTTCCGCTGAATATCTTCATCTTTTAAAAAACAAAGCCATCGTACGTTTTTCCCAAGCAGGATTCAGTTAGAGAGGAAACTCCTCTTACATATTTCCACAAAAGATATTAAAAAATCCTTATTAACAACCTGCGTCAGGCTTTTTTATACACATACTATAAATTCTGCCTCTGTCCACGGGTATAAAAAAAGGTAAATGTCAAAAGTATATTTTCGTACGTAGTTTGAACACGCTGACTCTTAAATAAGAGTAATAAAGCAAAGTTATCTAAATTATTCGGATATATTAGACTTTTGAAAAATTGATAAAAAACACGTTTATTTTAAACTAGCATTCTGCAACTTTATATGCAGATTGAAATAGGTTGTAAAGTTTATGACACTCTCCCTATCATTACAGCTCAAGTATGCAGTGACTTGACGTCATTTTCAATTATGACGTCATACATTTGTAGTTCAGAGAAGTACATGCAGAGAGTACACTACAATATTCTCTGGGAAGCCTTATAGTACCTGCGAAAATAATATTTGTTTAAATCAAGCGATAGAAATTATTTTGCAGTCCACCGACTTTAAACGAAAGATCTCATATCCTTCGTCCTTTTTATGTCACTTTCGAGTATGGGGCGCCTGAATTGAACCTATATAAACGCATTTCCTCGGAGGTGCAGTATTTCTGGAAGAAAGAACGGGAAGCGCTAAAGACAGTTCCTGAACCAAAAGATGGAATATATTTCATCATCGATGACAAAGAAAATGCCAAGAAATTGTGCCTGGAATTCTTTCAATTTTCAACCAAAACAACCCAGTATAAGCAATGTAGGACCTGCTTTCTGTATTTTCAAAGTAATTCTCTTTTTAATCAAATTATTTACTTATAACGGGAATTTTTTTATTATTATTTTAGATGAAGAAGAGTCTTTCGATAAAGAATCTGTTTTTGTGTGTTATCTTGGATATTCGTTTTGGGAAGATAAGGTAAAGACTATTTCTGTGAATTAATGACTTTCATTATTTTGTAAATTGATCCTCAATAATTATGATTTTTGGTTTATTTTCAGATCTCTTTTGATTCTTTAAACTCCTTGGTGAAGGACATTGACAGATCAATGCTGTTTTTCATTGTCGATTCTGATTTTGATATTGAAAAGAAAATCAAGTTGGTCGTCAGGAAAGCCCAATGTCATGCATCACATGTCCTGAGAGCGAACGGTGACAAATCAATAATTTATGATAAATGCTATTTGAAATTAGAGAAAACACTTGACAATATCACATCGTATTTGAAAGGAAAAACTGCAACACGACAAATCAGCGGATTTGTCAAACAACTTGGAGAACTTAAAGAGAAACTTTTTACAAGGAAATCCCTCGTACACTCACAACTTTCAAAAGAGTGTGTGAAAAAGATTAAAGCGTAGGTATTATAATACCTTTTAAAATTCATTAATCGTTCAAGCAAGAAAATAATGAATCATACTTTTCTTTGTGTACAGCCTATCAAATCGTTGAATTTGTTAAACAATAAAATTTAATTATCTCAAATATTTTAGATATTTAAACACGGTGGTTTTTTTTTTATTCAGTGGACGAAAATATGGGGTCGCTGGATACAGGCTTTGTGATGGAACATTACACATTTTCTCTAGTAATCAGAATCCAAATTTCAAAAACAAACTTGAAAAAACTATAAGAATGCACTTTCATGGGATGATAGAATTTCAGTTGATAAAAGAAGCGTTAAATCCTCAGTGTAGGATCAAATGTGGTGGTGAAATTGTAAATGAAGAAAAAAAGATTCAAGGGAGCTTAGGAATGTTTGGAGAAGTTTCAAGTCAACAAAATCATGATGAGACTTTTTCAAACGTTGTTGCCATTACATCTGGTCATCTTTTCAAAGAAGGGGATCTTGCAAAAGTGCAGCATCTCGAGCAAAGGATTGGCCGCTGCATTTGGCCGAATGAAAATATGTATGAAATGGGAAGATCAGTTGATAACGTGCATGATGTGTCCGTTATATCAATACATAAATCAGTACTTGGGTTATTATTGAAAACCATTGAAGGGTTGAACGAAAAGGTTCTTGTTTATGGACAACCTCTTTCAACACTGACCGACAGGCTGGTATTTAAGTATGGCGCGACTACATCAAAAACAGAGGGATTCGTCCAGAAAGTAAGCGACTTTGAATTATTTGATGGCGAGGTTATGGTTATATTACCGCATGTTGCTTTTGAAACATTTTCCGACAAAGGGGACAGCGGATCTATCGTTTTGACAAGAGTTGGGGACGATCTATACGCTGTTGGTATCATATATGGTGGAGAGTTAAACCTTCTGAATGCGGAGTGCTTCAGTGCAAAAAATGAGACAATCGCAGCTAGCCTCCGAGTGGCTCTTGATCGTTTCACCAAGGCAACTAAGAAATATATTACATTCGACACAATATAGCGTGGCTTGAGAGTGTTATCAACATTTCAATTCATCAGATGTACCTTCATTGAACTATTTGTTTACGAAATACCATTATTATCTATCGACGTGTTTAATATGCCGAAACTACAGAGTAAAAGAAGAACAGTATCTTGGCAACTCATCAAATTAAAAAAAAACTGAAATTTTCTATGAAAGATATTTTAATTGAATGCAAGGAGTATATAATCCACCAATCAAGATCATTAAATTAGAAATAACATGAAACTTTACATTACAGGAGTTATGTCTTGTTAGATTTACACTTTATGAACACCTCAAGCCCTGCAAAAGTTTAATATTTCATTGAAACTCACATTGTTTTTTTTTTAATCTTGGATCTGCAGATTTTTGAAGGCGAAAATGTTCTTGAAAAGAATTTGTTTATCATTAATGCCGAAAATTACAAACAGGACACAGCGAGCTCTTTCTTGGCCCCATGGGCCTTCTGGATTTGTAACAGTCTCCTACGAAGACCGCCCTATTGTGTTGTTAAACCTGGAGACTTAAGGGTCTTCTCCTTATCAAAAATTCTTCATAATTATACATATAACAAGCTTTCTTAAAGAATACTGTTTAAACGTATTAACTAAACATTGATCACTCTTTTTGAATGTGCAGTGTACATTTGATAAAATATGTGGATTATAAAAACTGATTGTAGCTAGATTGATGGCATTCTTCCATGCACATTTATAAATGTAGAAAATCCACTTTTCCCCCAAAAGTTTTAAATGTAGAATTTAACTTATAAATGTACAAAGTGACTTTTTAAAGATATCAATGTTTCCTTTTTCAGTGGTAAATATTTTGCGACAGGGGATGTTTACTTTTTAATGCACCTGATCCCATCTCTAGAATCCCCAGGGGTCACTGCTTATGTCCTGGTTAGAGATGTTTATTGTTATAGTTCTTATGGATCGATCAGTGTTGATCTTTTTTCATTTTTTTAGTGCAGCTATGTTCACCATTACTCTCCATACCTACACAGTATTATTATTACTTGATTCTTACATTTGTAAACATTTTTATTGAATTTTACCTTATAGATTTATTCCCTTGATTTTTATTATAAATACATTGTACTAAATATGTTTTAAAATGTTGATCTTTAAAAAATGTTTCTCTTTATTTTTTTTTAAATAATTTTGACGGATTTTACAATCACTGTATCTCATTGGTCGAAAACCGAGCTTAACGTAGACTCTACGCCGTATGACAACACATCCGATGAGTGTGTTAGCTTGTGTGAGAACCATTATGACGTCAAAATTAATATAATGATATTTTTCCTGTACCTTACACATGTTACAGCTTAAAAAGAATTGTATAAAATAAAGCATTTTGACATCAATGGAATGCAACTTTAAATTATGCCGAAATAATCTTAAACTGTACCTATCTCAATTTATGTTTTTTTAGTTATAAAGCTGAATGACTAAAAAAATTTCTGAAATTAGAGAAACTTGTAGGCACCTTTCATTTACTAGATCTTGACATAGGTACTATTTCTCACAATTCTTGTATTTAAAAATTAATGAAATTTTCAAAGAATCAAGAGGACAATATCGTTAAGTGATGGTATCAGTGAGATTAAATTTGACTGTTTAATACGCAGCACTGTTAAGGCTAGAAAAGGGGGCAGGGCCTAATTTATACGGGAAAAGTTTACTGTGACGTCACACAAAAATATTACTTTTATGCAATCCTCATATTACCCAAAAATGAAATAGTTTGCAACTTTAAACTGTATTAGCATAATAAACAACAATAAAACTTAGAAATGCATTAACAAAAGTCGCTAGTTAAATCTTATACAGCTGGTTTTAAACAAATCACTGATTTCGATGAACTTGTCAATCATGACGTCATTGTGGTAAAAATGACGTATTTTATGTGCTGTGAGAGGCATATTTGGGAATTTTTTAACAATGAAAAATGCGTTTTATTATAAAACAGAATATCATTTACAGGTTTTTAATAGGCTAATAATACCAATGTATATCCTTTGTTAAGTGCGATTATTCATCAACTATCGAGAGAATGTATTTAAATAATTCTGTCGTGTTTTTATGTTCAGGTTAGGTATATTTTATATACATCCAGGTGCCACATTAAATCACTCTTTCGCAAGGACATACACTAAACAAATCTTGACCATTTTTTGAATATAAATATAGGATATGTTCCTTAATTTGAAAAGTGCTGCTGCTTTCTTCAAATCGAGAGCATGACTTAATAAGTACACAAAATATTTGGTAAAAGTCAAACATATTTCGATATGGGCCTACGTGTATTTACTTGTGACGTTAACTATTAAAAGGCGAATTCTATTCAAAGCAGCAACACTTTCCAGAAAGTGCAAATTATGCAGAAACAATTCATAGCTTGAATTTTTAATTTCAACTAGGGTATGCCCTTGCGATATTGAAATTTGTTATTGACCTACATTCCGTGTACCTACTATGCATTCATCACGTGACTGTCCATCGATGGGACCAAACTCCAAACAGTACAGAGAAGGTTATACTATGCTATTTCCATAAGTATGTATGTTCTGTGATAATAGAACAGTTGAATAAAAATAAATTCAGTTTTAAGAACAATTCCCATTTTTGCACTTCTATTTTCCGTTGATTTCTCAGAGTAAGCCTTAACAGTGCTGCGTATTAGAGGCAAGGTCAGGTCAAGTTCAATACCTTTTTCCAAGACATTAAGAATATAAGAAAAATCTGTTTCCAATCATGATATCCCTACTTGTAATTAAAAGATTGAATGTTTTTCGTTTTAAATAAAAAGATACTACCATATAGGCCCTATATGATGATATTACCAAATTGACATTGATAATTTAAATAAAATGGATATTTGCTAATACGAATTTCCTCTGCCTTTCTTAATTTTTTTGGATTTATTAGTTATTTTTTTATACTTCCTATTTTTAACTTTTTCTAATTTTCACTTATCAAAGACAATAATGACTTATCCTACCCAGACCCCCACAATTCAATACACAAGACTAATTCCTTGCATTTGTAGCATACATATGAATTTCTAGAATTAAAAACACATTTTTTAAGTTTATAGTTTATTGTATGGCATATATTGGCCACAGTGGTCATATAAATGAATTTACAACATCAACTTTGGGGTCGCCAGACAACAGGGCTCACCCCCTACAACAACATATTATGTGTCGTCCGAAATGGCAAGTAGCATGCTGGGTTGATCACAATCATGCTATCGACACATCAACATATCATTTAATATACAACTCTTTACTTTAAACTGTCTATATGAAAAATTACTAAATCAACTAAATCAACATCAACGTATCAACAGTCAACATCATATATCTACATCCAGCTTGAAGGTGACGATATGGCTTCACACTGCTTCGCATTGACCTTTCAAATTAACCACTGTGACGAGATGTAAATCCAAGGATTCCTGTCGGTTGTAAACACTTCCTGGTATCCAGATGTAGGTCCAAGGATTCCAGTCCCTGTAGCCATTTCCTAGTATCCAGATGTAGGTATAAGGATTCCTGTCCCTGTAGCCAATTCCTGGTATCTGGAAGTATAAAACTTAAACGGCAGAAACAGTATACGAGTCAAAGTAATTATGTGGGGGTTGGGATGGGAGGGTATTTTTCACTCTAATTTCTAAACCATCCGCTGGTTACAGGCCTTTGTTGAAAAAGGAAGTGGGGATGCTGTAAATTCAGAGTGATGCGCGAGATGCATATAAAATCCCGGTCCAAGTTTCCGGATTACACAACAGATTGATCTACACAATTATCAACAACACAAACCATTTTAAATCTACACAATACATAAAACCAAATTAATATAGTTTAATGCTAATTATAAAGAGGAGAGCTTTGATAACGGCACATATTTACAGACAAGCTAAAATATGTGCAATTATCAAAGACAATAATGACTTATCCTACCCAGACCCCCACAATTCAATACACAAGACTAATTCCTTGCATTTGTAGCAGACATATGAATTTCTAGAATTAAAAAACACATTTTTTTAAGTTTATAGTTTATTGTATGGCATATATTGGCCACAGTGGTCATATAAATGAATTTACAACATCAACTTTGGGGTCGCCAGACAACAGGGCTCACCCCCTACAACAACATATTATGTGTCGTCCGAAATGGCAAGTAGCATGCTGGGTTGATCACAATCATGCTATCGACACATCAACATATCATTTAATATACAACTCTTTACTTTAAACTGTCTATATGAAAAATTACTAAATCAACTAAATCAACATCAACGTATCAACAGTCAACATCATATATCTACATCCAGCTTGAAGGTGACGATATGGCCACATGGGCACCTGATGAATGTGTGCGTTAGCAGACATACAATCAGGTTGCCCACCGCCACATGGTGGGGGTAGGAACCTTCAAGATGACCACTGTGCCTCTGCCAAAAACTTTGATAATTATTTACAAGGAAATTCTTTGCTTTTACCCCCACTGGCAAAATACTCCAGGGCCCCTTGAATGTTGTTGAGGAAAATGTAATTCCCTAACTCTGACAAATGAGTTCCGTCTGAGTGATACAATTGTACAGGTTTACCTACAAATTGGGAATGCATGATAATTCTCCCCCCATATTGAAATACCTGTTTTGCTGCCCATCTGTTTAGCCTATCCCTTGCCTGCTCCATTGCTCTAATGTTACTCGAGTGTCTCCATGAAATGCGGGGGAGGAGAAAAGACCAAACGAGAGTAGTGTTGGTGAAGATACTTGACAGTAATTGAATGTCCCACTTAATTCTGTACAATAATCTTGACAATTTAATTTGACCCAGATCATTGGCCCCACAATGAATCAGTAAATATCTTGGAGGATCCTCTAATGTTGCCAAGTATCTAACCTTCTGAACTAGGTCAATAAATTTTAAACCCCCGTACCCTTGCCACCAAATATCTACCCCTCTTTGGTTCAGCCCAAGGCTCCATCCCCCCGGTCTTAATCTTGCTGCTATGGATGCCCTTTTTATAATTGATGAGCCAACAATCCAAACTGTAATTCTGCCTGGTTTTGGGAACCCTGTAATATTAATTAACAGATGCATGCCATTAGATTAAATATGCTAATTATGATAATGGAGATGTTCGACTAAGTGGAGATCTTATATAAGTCCGGAAGGCACTTGATTTCCATCTGCCAGCTATTTTAATTTCTTCATCTGAAAAACCCTTGTCTGCTGCTGTTGTTGCAGCCCCTATCCTAAAAGAATGAGACTTGTAATACTTGCTCTCTAGTCCAATAGCTACAATGACTTTATCTAAAACTGCTGAAAATTGATATCTTGTAAGTGGCTTTCCTCCAAAATGACAAAACAAGGGGCCCGGAAAGTTTGGCCTTACTTCTAAAAACTTAGTCATTGCCTGCACTGGACAAATAATCGAACCATGATTATTTACCACTACTTTTACCCCCTTTCCCAACTGATCAGTTTTAGAGCACCTTATACACAATGTCAGTTGATTATTTTGTATGTTCACATCACCAATTCCCAAAATGGTTCGAGAGTTGTTGCCCTTAGATATAGCTAATTCTCCCACCCTCAGAAAGGCAAAAAATGCTAATGTATATGCTGCTGTGAATAATTTAGCTTCATAAAAACTTGAGCACACACTGCTCAATGCCCCCGTTAATCTAGCCAAATTTTTTTCTGTAATTGGCAACCTTGTATCAACCCTAGAACTGAGACGCTTGAAACCCTCCAACACTTTAGAAACAATAAACCTATTAGTTGAGTCTTCGAATCCATTTATCTTGCATTCATAGCCAATAGCCCCTACATAGGCTCTAGCCGTAGACTCTGCATAGCCATTAAGTGATAGGTAAGCGATAAAGTTAACTATTTGCTCCACAGGAGGAGGCCAGATAATTTTTTCATTTGACATATTTCTAAACTTGTGGAATGCTATGATCCCTGTTTTATAGGTTACTGTAGTATTGTAGGAATTGGATGCAATCAATAGTCGAGAAACTTCCCCCTGGACATCAGACTGTGAAATGTGGATGGAATGGGATCTGGGACCTGGTTTGCTGTTGGAGCAAGTTGTTGGAATCTTCCCCACTGTTTACGAGAAAGAGCATCTGCTATACCATTATCAATGCCAGAAATATGTTTGGCTTTAAATATAATATTATATTGCATAAGCATCAAAACTAGCTTCCTTATTAAAAACATAATTCGCGGAGACCTTGACGACTGAGTGTTCAGGATGCTTACCAAGGCAATATTATCTGTATGAAATTGAACCTTATGACAGCTAAGTTCCTCCCCCCAAAGCATAACTGACAACACTATAGGGGCTAACTCAAGAAATGTTATATCCCTGATGATATCATGATTCTCCCATTCTACCTGCCATTCATAATAAACCCACCTTCCTTTAAAATAGCACCCACAACCAAAACCAATAGCTCCTGCACTGTCTGTGTAGAGCTGTATTGCTCTTGAATTCACCCATTCTGAACATGGGAAGAAAGCTACTCCATTGAAATGGTCTAAAAATTTAACCCACATTAACATATCCTCTTTCAATGCCCTGGTGATTCTAATGTGACTATTGGGACGGGAAATGCCAATCATAGAATCATAAAATCTTCTGTTGAATGCCCTACTACCCCTGATAGCCTTGGAAAAGAAATTGAGCTTTCCGACTAATGATTCCATTTCTTTCAACTTAACCTTTGACCTTTCCATTAAAATACCAAGCATACCTTTGAGTTCCTGTATTTTATCCCTTGGGATTCTTACCATTCTAAGCACCGTGTCGATTTCTAACCCTAAAAACACTAAACAAGTAACAGGTCCTTGTGTTTTATCTACTGCTAAAGGAACCCCAAAATCTTTGCACACAACCTGGAATAATGTCATTAATTGCAAACATTCACCTGATCCCCTACTCCCTGCAAAGATAAAATCATCTAAATAGTGCTCTACTGTATTTAAACCAGATTTATTTGTTATAACCCACTGCAAAAATGTTGAAAACTTTTCGAAAATTGAACAAGAAATTGAACATCCCATGGGTAAGCACTTGTCAAAATAGTATTGACCCTTAAATCTAAATCCTAACAGATCAAAGTCCCCAGGGTATATTGGGAGTAACCTAAATGCACTTTTAATGTCGACCTTTCCTAACTCAGCACCGGGTCCTAACTGATTTATCATATCGACTACTGTATCAAAAGCTGTGTATTTAACGCTGCAATCATCTGGGTCAATAAATGAGTTAATGCCAAGTGATGGAGGGTATGAAAGATGTGTAATCATCCTCCAACCACCACTTGACTTTGGGACTAGACCAATTGGAGAAATGTGCATATTAGGTATAGGTGGGTGTGAAAATGGGCCCAGCACCCTTCCCTCCTGTACTTCTTTAACAATTTTTTCTTGCAACTGATTAGGGAATTGCCTAGCCGAAAGCAAATTCTCAGATAAAATAAACATTCTTGGACCTGAATAATTTAACTTAAACCCATAAGTGAATCCTTGTAATATTTCATTTGCTACATTCCTTATTGGATATTGGTGCAAAAAAGGTGCCAATGCAGAAACCCTAATTGGTGTTGAACCTATTTCCCATAAATCTGGGACCCGAGAATCGAGGGCGTCTAAGGTTAAGCTGGGGGGTGGAAGCTCCGTTAAGTCGACTGGATTGCTGGACCCCTGGCCGGAAGGCCTGTCTTGGGCTGAAATAAGAAGCTTGCCTGTTAACTACATTTACAGAGAAAGGACAATTTACCATGGCATGATCTTGACCACACTTTATACAAATGTGTGTGTACGAGCATGGTTTCCTTACACAAAACCCCTGAAAATTAAATGCGTAACATTTATTTGCCCCTACAGTTCCCGAAGGTGATATGTTTTGCCCCCCAGACATATACATGACCCACAATTCTGTATCTACACCTGACCAAGATTTGCTGGGATCCATAGCCAACTTTAGGCGGAACTGCTCGTCATAAAGTTTCCACCCAGAGGACCTACCCGCCCCAGCACGTACATCGTGCATGTATTTTAGTAAATCCTGATATTTACCTGTATGGACAGATGTATATATGCTCAAATAAATGAGGAAGGCATCCGTCCATTTCTCAATTGTTGTGATTTTTTGAGTATTCTTGGGTTTGCTTTGCATTTGGCCATCATTACCCAATACAAAAATTCGCTCACTAGCTGAGTCTTCAATATTTGAATTTCTTAATAATAGTGACAAATCAACATATTTGCCTTCAATAATTTTTTGTCTGATAGTCTCGTTTACATTATGGCCCAATGAAAACTGAATTGAATTTAATGGTGTGGGGATAGAACCCCCATCTTGCGACAGAAAATTATTTGTACCTGCTGATTGGTCAGTTAAATTTTGGGTCCCCATTCCGTCGCACGTCGGCGCTTGTGTCGCCAGTGGCGCTGATCCTGTCGTAGATTCCCCCGGATCCTGAACCTGGGGCTGGGCTTCTCCTCCGATCTGTTTTTTGCTCTTCTCTCCTCTGCGTCTTGTCCTTATGGGCGGCATCCTTACAAATTTATTTAAGTTCGGTTTGTTAATTGACGAAAGTTATGCCTGCACACAGAATAATGGCGATACCGAGTCACTACAGGATGCTGCACGCTGCCCTACAAAAATCTCAAAATATCCAACAAATATGCAGCCATCGGAAGCGCTCCAGGTCTAAGATGTCTTGCAATGCCGTTGATTCGACTAATTTTGAAAATCGAATTGAGTTTTTTCGATTAATTAACAGTTATTTTTTAAAGTATTTTTCACTCTAATTTCTAAACCATCCGCTGGTTACAGGCCTTTGTTGAAAAAGGAAGTGGGGATGCTGTAAATTCAGAGTGATGCGCGAGATGCATATAAAATCCCGGTCCAAGTTTCCGGATTACACAACAGATTGATCTACACAATTATCAACAACACAAACCATTTTAAATCTACACAATACATAAAACCAAATTAATATAGTTTAATGCTAATTATAAAGAGGAGAGCTTTGATAACGGCACATATTTACAGACAAGCTAAAATATGTGCAAATATAGTAAAGTTGTCACATAAAGGTACAAAATGATACAAAAACTAAAAGTTTTGATCGTTTACTAAGAGAGAAATAAAACTTTTTTACATAATAGGAGTTATGTCTTGCTATAATTACACTTTATGAAGACCTCATGCTAGTAAGCCCTGCAAAAGTTAACTATTTTTTGAAACTCCCATTTTTTTTAAATCTTGGATCTGCAGATTTTTGAAGGCGCAAATGTTCTTGAAAAGAATTTGTATATCATAAATGCCGCAATTTACAAATTAAATACAAGGAGCTCTTGTTTGGCCGTACAGGCCTTCCAGATTTGTAACAGTCTCCTATGAAGATCGTCCTATTGTGTTGTTGAACCTGGAGACATAAGGGTCTTCTCCTTATCAAAAAATCTACATATACATATAACAAGCTTTCTTAAAGAATACTTTTTAAACGTATTTACTAAACATTGATCACTCTTTTTGAATGTGCAGTGTACATTTGATAAAATATGTGGATTATAAAAACTGATTGTAGCTAGATTGATGGCATTCTTCCATGCACATTTATAAATGTAGAAAATCCACTTTTCCCCCAAAAGTTTTAAATGTAGAATTTAACTTATAAATGTACAAAGTGACTTTTTAAAGATATCAATGTTTCCTTTTTCAGTGGTAAATATTTTGCGACAGGGGATGTTTACTTTTTAATGCACCTGATCCCATCTCTAGAATCCCCAGGGGTCACTGCTTATGTCCTGGTTAGAGATGTTTATTGTTATAGTTCTTATGGATCGATCAGTGTTGATCTTTTTTTCATTTTTTTAAGTGCAGCTATGTTCACCATTACTCTCCATACCTACACAGTATTATAATTACTTGATTTTTACATTGTAAACATTTTTATTCAATTTTACCTTATAGATTTATTCCCTTGATTCTTATTATATATACATTGTACTAAATATGTTTTAAAATGTTGATCTTAAATAAATGTTTCTCTTTATTTTTTTTTTAAAATAATTTTGACGGATTTTACAATCACTGTATCTCATTGGTCGAAAACCGAGCTTAACGTAGACTCTACGCCGTATGACACCACATCCGATGAGTGAGTTAGCTTGTGTTAGAACCATTATGACGTCATAATTAATATAATGATATTTTTCCTGTACCTTACACATGTTACAGCTTTAAAAAATTGTATAGAATAAAGTATTTCAAAATCAATGGAACGCAATTTTGAATCATGTCGAAATACTCTTAAATTGTACCTATCTCAATTTATGTTTTTTAGTTACAAAGTTAAATGACTAAATAAATTTCTGAAATTAGAGAAACTTGTAGGCACCTTTCATTTACTAGATCTTGACATAAGGTAGGATTCTTCTCAAATTTCTTGTATTAAAAAATTAATGAAATTTTCAAAGAATCAAGAGGACAATATCAGTAAGTGATGGTATCAGTGAGATTAAATTTAACTGTTTAATATTAGAGGCAAGGTCAGGTCAAGGTCATTACCTTTTCCCTGGACATTAAGAATAAAAAAATTACTGTTTCCAATCATGCGATCCCTACTTGTAATTCAAAAGATTGAATGTTTTTCTTTTTGCATAAAAAGATACTACCATATGGGCCCTATATGATGATGTTACCAAATTGACATGGATAATTTAGATAATATGGATATTTGCTAATACGAATTTCCTCTACCTTTCTTAATTTTTTTGGATTTATTAGTTATACTTATATACTTCCTATATTTAACTTTTTCTAATTTTCACATATAGTTAAATTGTCACATAAAGGTACAAAATGATACAAAAACTAAAAGTTTTGATCGTTTACTAAGAGAGAAATAAAACTTTTTACCGATTTGTGGCTCAAATCTGTACTTAGATTTGAAGCATTTAAAAGCCAACATAGTTCTAGTATGTGTGAAAAAACTGTTTTATTTGATATATTTTGAAACTTTATTCCCTTATTATTAATTTAACTTATATTTGAAATTTTCTTCTAGTCTTTGATTGTGTAAAAATTATTCAATGTTTTATAATAATTTTGTGAGGCAGAAAAGAAGATATTTTCATACGCCACAATTCCGCGAAAAATATAGTCCCTTCTAGTTTTCAAATGCAGTTTACCATTTCTATTTAAAGTTGTATAATTGTGATGAGGAAAGAAAAATATGGTCTTTTAGATCTCTTACATCTAAATATATAAGATATATCAACAAATGTACTTTGAATATTCCATCTAGTCAGAAACCAGAGAAGAATCCTACCTTAAAAGGACAAACCCAAAACGATCTCATGAAATGAAATTACACGATTTGTTGTGAAAATGTGAATGGTATGCAACTTTTTTGAGGGAATGCAAAAATCTTCAGAAATCTTCAGTTGACAACTAAATAGAATAATGTCTTCATGAAATGTTCTAAGTCAAATCCTTCGGTATGCTCTACCTCTCATTTTCAACAAAGTCAGCCATGTTCCTTCCAACAATATCAGTAACACCATCATCTGCTTCATATTTTAATTTATTGGCTTTAATGATTTCATTTGTTTTAAGGAAAGGCTCTTCATAAGTTGTACAATTGCCAAGCAAATCTTTTGATTCATCTCTCCAAGGATAAAACAGCATTAGCTGTTCCCTGAAAAACTTTTCAGAGTCTTGTTTCTTGTTATATCTGACATATTTAATTTTTTTTTTTTTTTTTTTTTTTTTTTTGAGTTTTACATTTTCTGAGAATTGTTTCATTTCTGATTGGGTGTTCTTAATTTGCAATTCATCTTCAAGTGAATCAGGTTCTTGTACATCAACTTTATCTTCATCTTCATCCTACCTTTTGTCTTCTTGTAAATCTCCATTTTTTTGGAATTGATTCAACTTTTCTTCTGTGCAATAATATCATATTGTAAAATAAAATCAGCTAAAACAGCATTTCAACAATTTATCATTGAGTCAAATGCTGACTGACTTTTTTCATGCTAATTGTTGGTCCATTATTTATACAATGAATTGATTACGGATTTTTCCGTTGTTTCCTGATCATGACATGGAGCACACGGCGAGTGTGTCCGGTGTTGCATAATATTAGTTCCGGCTCGTTTAAAGGTCAGGCCGGACCTAATGCGATACCATATTAGGTCCGCTAGCTCTATAAGAAAAGGTCCACCCTCGGCCTATTATACAAATTGTATGCCTGTGTTCGTTCGATATTAATTGAAAAACTATTGTTTTAAAATTAATTGAGGATATAAAGTCGTATTAATAGCTAGTGTTTCCTCCGAAAGAATGTAGTAAACAATAAGTAAGATATTAATACATAAATAATCTATTTATAAAAAAAATGTACAGATTTATTGATCGAGTTTCCTGTCGGGAAGATGGGGCATGTTTATTTTGTCGTTTAAAACACTGGTATCAACATTATCATTAAAAAAAATATTCAGAATACAAATGTACATACATTTACCTTCATCGCCTGTCTACTGGCAGATTCATAGCCATTCTCTGTAACCACTTAAACTTCGTTGCCATGCATGGTCACCGATTTTGAGGAAATTTCACCCATGCTTAGAACTTGACAACAGAAACAAATATCAAACAAAATTTCCTCGCTATGTGTCTCGTTTGCTATGGCAACAGCCGGAAAAGTTTGAAAAATCGAGATTTTGTGCCACTTTAAATCTTGACTGTGGCTTAATAAAAACTAGAAAAGACAAACAAACCATTCTCACAAAAAGACGACACCTTGATGTCACTTATACCGTAAAGAAACTGTTTAGAATATATCTCTAAGTAAGTGGTAACCAAATGTACATTTGGAATACATTTAAAATGCTGAAATATGCTGAAAAACACTCCGTATTCACTAATGGTAGTATTACATGCTCAAACTCAATCAACGACATAAGAAAAACAATGAAAATGTTTGACCTTCAGTACATAAGTATTAGCAATATTATTCTATAAATAACTTTTATGGTTGCTATGGAAACACTGTGTAACCATGTAAAACCAGTAACTAAGATTGGGTTAATGCTACTGTCTTGAGGAAAAACATGAAAATTCAAGACTGGCAAATATGCAACCTTAGGACCTTGCAACACCAAATTAAAACCATAAGAAAAATTGGGTATAATTGCTACTTTGCAGTGTTACCATGGAAACAAAGTACCAGTGATTAAAAGTGAATTATTTTTCGCTGCATTAGGAATAAAATTGCAATTTCATCAAGAAACAAATTAAAGGACTCAGCTTGAATAGTACTTATCTGTTAGAACTGAAGTTGAATATCATATATTGATAAAATTTGATGAAGAAAACAACATTGTTGCTATGGTTACCAAGAAGGGAAAATGTTCGATTTTGTGAACTTTATATCAATATTAAACCCTGTCTGCCAACTTCTTGCATCTACTTAAAGATTGGATGATAGTCAAAAAAAAAATTCACGTTAGCTGTTGATAAATATCAATCCTAAATTTTTTGGGAATCTACATTTAAGGGTACGTATCCAAGGAAAGAAAATATTTTTCAGGTTTTTAAGCATATTTCTTCTGCTTATTTCCATAGCAACGCTCTATTTAAAGAACCTAATCTGATTTTTTTCAAATGGGAAAACTAGGAGCACACCAGCATCTTTAAAAATTAATCATTAGTTATGAGGAAATGTGCTTTTTTAAAAGATAGGGTCAGATTTAAACATACAGAGTGTTACTTTGAAGGCTCTCTGTGGTATAAAAACCTTGGCAACCAAAATGAAATATCATATTTTGTTCTTGGTATATTTTTCAAGGCTCTTTTTTCTATTATTTGGTCTTATTTCATCCTATAATTGCTTTTTATTTTTACGTGTATAACTTTATAAATACAATGAATATTTTTTTTTTACTTTTGAATTCTTTGTTACCATAGTAACGTATGTAATAGTTGATTTACCAAATATGTTTATCATGCATTTGAGACATCTGACTTTCAACTTTTGGAAACAGTCATTGCCAATTGTTTGCTTTGCCGCAAATGTTAACTATGGGGCTCTAAACATGGTTTAGGGTATCAATGACTTTTATCATAGAGAGTTTGGAGAAATTCTGAGACATTGCGTGCCACAGCTCCTATATAAAATTTCAAATTATTACAGAAAATGGCTCTTAATCAGTCAGTGGATTGCTTATTCTTTATCATGTGCCGTGTATAGAAGATTTTTTATATGGAATATTTATCACACTATAATAATGATTTTAAAAGTTGGTACAAGCCAGACCTCATAATTTTTTCATTTTTATTTCACATGAAAAATACTATCATTTAGTAAAAAAAAGTATTTCGAAGAAAAAGAAAATGGATCATCCGAGATTTGAACCTGGAGTCTTTCACACATGAAGCGAGAGACATACCACTACGCCACGGAACCGCTTTAAACCGGCGTAAATTATGTGCAAAGATGAAGTCACATAATTTATTATATTACGTTGTATTCACTTTCGATATTGTCAAAATTTTATACAATGCATGGTGTCTAATTAAACCTTTATTAAACAGTTCTAATAGATGTAATCAGAATATAAAGTCCGCCGAGAACCTGTTTTATACGAAATAACTCTCTCCGTGCTCCTGTGCTAAAAATAGCGACGTGTAATACTTTAAATACTAATAAAACAAACGAGAGACACTTTGAGGGGTGAGAGAGGTCCAAGGGAGGTTTGGTATGAAATAAACATTGCAAAAGCTCAAAATCTTCTTGAAATATCGCCCGGAAAAGATAGTGTTACACACAGACACAATTTATAAATTTATGACCTTGAACTTTGACTGTTTGACCTCAAAATCATAAGGGGTCTTCCTTACGCCATAAGGAGTTGTTATGTAAAATTTCATCTCAAAAGCTCAAAGGGTTCTCGACATATCGCGCGAAAACGATCAAAAAAGTTTTTGTAAGCGTATTTTTCTAAAGATATGTACATTTTATTGTGTTGCTCTTCTGGCTTTTTTTAAATAAAGTTTGTGTTAGCTAGATGTGCAAATACCGTGTAAGTGAGAATTTTAGCGAGGATTTAATTTTGGCATTATTAGCGAGGGTGTTGGGATCACTAGAATTGAATATCGCTAAAAATTTATTGCGTTTTATTTGTAATAGCTTCGTGAGTGAGTATTTTAAAATCGCTTAAATTACTTCTTGCTAAAAATGAAATTCTAATTTTTAAGTATCGCTTAATTTGCGTCTCGCTAAAATTTCCACTTATACGGTAACTATGTTTACTTTGTGTATACTCATGAGTCGTATAAATCTTTGAAGGGTGAGACTAGCTTACTGTAAACGTATTACATTCAGCGGTATATTCTATTTAGTAATTTGGGCGGAAAGCAGAGACCGCTAATTTAAGTACATTCCTAAATGATTGACATGCTTTTATCCAAGTCGTTGTGTTTTATTTATCCCCTCGTCAAGGCTCCGGAATAAAGAAGAAACACACACCAACTCGTTGCGAAAAAATCACATTCAACCAGAATTTGATTTCATTTATATCAGGGATTAGTTGAAATATTGTAATTCATGGTTTACTAATCTGACTTCTTTTTTTAAGGTAATAAATCATGGCAGGGGTTGTTACACGTCGTCGAGCTGAAACATGTAAAAAATAACCTTTTTGAATATTTGAATAAAATCTCCTTGTGGATGGTTATTTTTGTTTATCTGTATCAATACTGAAAAAAAAACATTGAAATTAAGCTGAATGTTTGTTTCACTAAAGCCATAAAGATTAAATTGTATTTTAGCTTCACCACTGATTTCTCCAGTTCCAAGAGAACAAACTCGATTCAAAAGGTTTGTTCTTTTTTATAAACATATGGTGGTAACATAGGCGCATAATTGAAGACTTCTTAGTGATTCACAAAAATGAAAATACGTAAGCCACATTAATCCGAACGCATGTCTGCCTGAACAAGTTACGAATATTAAAACGAAACATATGTTTATATACCGTAACAGTACATAAATATAACTTGTCCTCCACATAGTACGTCCCGAATATGAATCATTCTAATTATCGTGACTTCATTCTACATATCAATTTTGTCAATATTAAGATTTAAGATGAAGAATTTTTATTTCTAAATTGTATTGCTTAAAAATCTTTTTTAAATTTATTTCTTTTTCTAACATAAGTAAGTACAATTTGGTATTTTGTAGCACATGTTCGACACATAAACATTCATACAAAATGCAGCTATTCTATGTCACTTTTGAATTCGGGCCATCTGAGCTTAACCTTTTCAAACTTATTTCGGAGGAGTAATACTATGCTTGGAAAGAAACAAATGAAACAGTTCGCTTCGAGATCGGGAGGCCCGGGTTCGATTCTCGATAGCGGCGCTGCGTCATACCTAAGACGTAAACAAAGGTAGTAACTGCATGTTCCTTCGCCAAGCGCTCGGCACTAGAAGCGAAAGTCACGGGTCTTTCTGATAGGACCTTTAAAACGTAGGTCCCGTGTCACGGTAGGCGCTGGCACGATAAAGAACCCTCACTGCTCAATGGCCCTGAGTGCCGAGTATAGGTCAAAATCTGAAGCCCTTCAACGGCATACGGTGACGTCTCCATTTGAGCGAAATATTCTCAAGAGGGACGTTAAACAATATACAATCAATCAATCATTTTTCTCCATAATTGCAATAGCATCTGGTCATCTTTACAATGAAGGGGATTTAGCTGAAGTTCAACAATATGGAGAAGTTAAATCAATCGGCATCTGCATTTGGCTAAATGAAGATAAGCTGGAAAATGAAAGATTACATGACATTTCTGTCATAAAGATATATAAGTCTGTATTGCCATTGCTATCAAAAACCGTTGAAGAACTAAATGAAAATGTGTACGTCTACGGACAACCACTTTCTACACTCACCGACAGGCTAGTATTCAAGTTCGGTGCTGCCACTGCCAAAACGAAAGGGTACACCCAAATAGTCAGTGACTTTGAAGTATTTGACGGAGATGTGTTGGTGATATCGCCACGTATTGGTTTCGAAAAGTTCTCTGGCGAGGGAGACAGTGGGCCCGTTGTTCTGACAAGAATAGTAAACCGTCTGTATGCCGTTGGAATCGTTTATAGAGGAGATTTAGATCTTTATATTGCAGAATGTCTTTGTGCGAAAAAAGAGACAATTGCAACAAGTCTGAATGTTGCACACAAACGTTTCACTAAACCAACCAAAAGATCAATCACTTTTGATAAAACTTGAGACAGTTTACACGTCGTTGGTAAAATTCAAGTTAAAGCAACATACACGGTTGCAATTAACAAATGAAAATGCATAAACAGTAATTTTCAAAAGAATTATTGAGCTCTACTTCATATATTTTGCCCATTTTTATAGATGAAACTGTGTACTTTTTATAATATTAAATTTTTTAAATTTTTTATAATTCCTTATTAAAAATTAATGTATTTTATGTTTTTCATAAAGAAAATGATGTTAATAAATGTCAATCGTATATTCCTAATAAAATGTTTATATATAATTTATTTGACTCAGGCTGGACTACAATGAAGTCGGCTAGCAAATGGGTTTACTTAGTGTTTATTAATATCTATAAAGTTAATTACAGAGTTACCATTATAATAACATTTATAAATGTAGGACGCCAAAAAAATGCCTATATCCCTTTAATGGACTTGGTTTCTTCGTTCCATTCTAAGCATGAAAGTATAGACAAGGAATTTTGAAAAATGAATTAATTCCTAGATTTTTAGAAGAAGTTAATACATGTACAAAAACTTAATCAATCGCAATTGTGTCTCCCCTTTCGAGGCAACAAAATATATTTAAAAGTGATATTGTACATTATTTTTAATTCTATTTCACTAACTTACCAACACATACATACATAAATCACACATAATTTTTGACAGGATTTTGAAATACTCGAGGTGATAATTCACAAATATTTCCAAACGGCTTTTGATGTCAATTTCTTTTCTTTTTGGCGTTCTTACCCATTGCAGTCACCTTTGTATCCGTTCCTTCGAAAGCCGTAAATTTGTTCGGAAACGTACTAGACACATCCGAGAGACATGTTCCTTTTAACTTGAATTTTCTGAACAAATTGACTCTCAAGCACAAGATAATAACAGCATTTACCATTTGTTCGACTGCTTTCTATGTTTAAAAGATGACATATTTCAGAGATGCTTTCTAAGAATAACTAGCATTATGAGAAATCCAAAAGTTTGATACATTTAAAGTAGAGGAATTTCACTTCCATAATAATTTACGATTAAAAAAGAAAGAAAAGAGCTCCTATACCCTACGTTTTGATATGTAAAGGCATGCCTTTTTTTCACAAAATTTTCACATAAAAGTGCTTCATACTTTTATTCAGTTTGTGAGTAAAAGTGTGTTTACGCATCGATAAATTGTGAAAAAAAAGTTTAATTCGTTATAGTAAATATACTGATTTAAAAAGAAGGTTCACTCAAACTGTCATACCTATTTCAAATAATTTCATTTCTTAAATACAATCATTTGGTAGATACAATTAGTATGAAAAATGTCAGTCAGCATTTGACTCAATGAAAAATTGCATTTGCAGTAAGGGTCATTGCCTCGTTTAAGAAAATGTTCATAAATGTGAAGCATGCTCTTGCGTATCGAATCAACAGAGATATCTAGGCGTCGTATTAGTGTGTTGAAGGTATATTCTGCATAAGTAAAGGAAGTTGACGATAAAAAAGTTACGTTTTTTCTAGTAAAATATACAAGTATGAAACAGATGTATCAGACTATGTGGTATCTGTCATCTTAAGCTCACCAGAATATAACGTATCGACATAGGAATGATAATTGATATTGGTATTTGACAATACGTCGTCGATATAACTAAATGTTGATTTGAGGACCATAACAAGTGTTTTCTTATTTTCATGCATGAGATTTTGCACGAACTTCGTTTCACATGAATCAAAAATAGGCTTGCTCATAACGGAGTTCAGTGGTACTCATCAGAATTCCAGTTGATTGTTGGAAGACCTAGTCTCCAAAAACTACATAGATATTGTCAATCAGATACTCAAGCATCTATTTGATGTCAACTTTAGAGTACTTGTGTATAATCAGAATGTGTGTTAAGGAAATTATTTTGCAAATGACCAAAGACCAGGTAAGTTAATAACGAGTTTCATTTTTTTTTAAAGAAACATCTGCCAAGCATATCAAAAGCCTGGACTATAATTTATCGTTGGGAATGCTTGTGTATAAAGTTGAAAAGTCCTAGGTTTTATCCCTATATTTCTTTCAAGGGGATAACTGTTTTTATATCCCTTCTGTTGATTTTAAACATTTTAGATTTCTACAATATGACACACAGGACGGAAAAATGTGTTGGATTTTTGAAATTGTTCCTATGTCATATAATCAGTACGGAATTGATAAACTGTTTATTCTATCGCATCAAACATATAATAAAATATTGGTCTTTTAAAAGATCATGTAGAGTCGAGGAATACCCACAGAACTACAACAGTGACTCATATATCCTCTAAACCTCATTTGAAGTACATTTATCAGTTGAATCTAAACACCTTTTGTCACAATCAAAGTATATAATGCAATATATTTCTTTAAATGGCTTAGCTATTTTTTTTTTCATCTTTTCGCTCATGAAATTAGTATTCATGTAGAGTTTAACACTTGTTTATTCTACTATATTTGACATTGAATAATATTTTCGTAGTTTTAAGAAGGATATAAGGATAACGGACAGTATTTAATCTCAAAGTCCATAAAACAATACAAAATTAAAGCAGAGCAAACACGGACCCCCAAAACATCAGAGGTTGGATCAGGTGCCATGGAGGAGTGAGCATCCCCTGCCGATCGGTCACACCCGCCGTGTGCTCCCTGTCATGATCAGGAAATAGCGCCAATTCATTGTATAAAAAATGGACTAACAATTGGTATGAAAAACGGTCTGCATTTGACTCAATGATAAAATTTATTTGCTGACAAGGACATTGTATCAACCATAGAACTTACGAAATGATGACTTTAAACAAGACTGCTGATATTCTTGTTTCGTCAACTTGCTTGTCAATAATTTACCTCGTTTTAGAAATTGTTCATACGTAGAGCATGCTCTTGCGTATCGAATCAACTGATATATATATATATATATATATATATATATATATATATATATATATATATATATATATATATATATATATATATATATATATATATACTCCATATGCAGGTGTTGAAGGTATATTGCTGCATAAGTAAGGGAAGTTGACGATAGAAAAGTTAAAGTCATCACGTTTATCATATAGCTTGGTTGTTAGATAACCATTAGTGTCTTTTTCAAGTAAAATGTCCTAGTATGATACAGAAGTGTCGGACTCTGTGGTATCTTTTATCTCAAGCTCAACAGGATATATTGTATCAACATAGGAATGGAAATTACAATTATTAATTGACAATATGTCGTCCATATATCTAAATGTGGAGTTGAAGGCCACTGCAAGTGTTTTCTTCTAAGACCATTTTCAGTCAAAGATGACTTAATATCGAAAACGGAGACTCATATCTATCCCTCCCACTTCATTTGCACCCTAACAAAAAAATACTATAGTTAACTATAGTTTACTATAGTTAACTATAGTACCAAAGTTAAAACTTTGGAACTTTGATTTACTATAGTGAAAACTTTGGAACTTTGATTTACTATAGTAATAACTTTGAAACTTTGATTTACTATGGCGAAAACTTTGGAACTTTGATTTACTATGGTGAAAACTTTGGAACTTTGATTTACTATAGTGAAAACTTTGGAACTTTGATTTACTATGGTGAAAACTTTGGAACTTTGATTTACTATGGTGAAAACTTTGGAACTTTGATTTACTATTGTAAAAACTTTGGAACTTTGATTTACTATGGTGAAAACTTTGGAACTTTGATTCACTATGATGAAAACTTTGGAACTTTGATTAAGTACTATAAAACCCGTGGATTTATAGTTTTGCTTCTCATTCTGTACATTTTATGAAATGTCAAGAATAAGATTTATTGAAGCTTAGATGAACGTTAGAAAAACCCGACCCCTCCGCTATAAGAACAAAGTACAAGAGATGAATTTTAAAAAAAAATGTACTAGCACCGATAAAAAAGCAATATTTATCATCATTTATGGAGAAAAAATTATTATAAGATAAAAAAACAAACCAAAATCATAACCCTTAAAACAGATAAATAATTTTAAAAAATAATAAAAAAAAAAACATACAAAAACTTCAATACTTTAATTTTCTATAGTAAAACTTTGGAACTTTGATTTACTATGGCGAAAAACTTTGGAACTTTGATTTACTATGGTGAAAACTTTGGAACTTTGATTTACTATAGTAAAAACTTTGGAACTTTGATTTACTATGGGAAAACTTTTGAACTTTGATTTACTATGGTAAAAACTTTGGAACTTTGATTTACTTTGGTGAAAACTTTGGAACTTTGATTTACTATAGTAAAAACTTTGGAACTTTGATTTACTATGGGAAAACTTTGGAACTTTGTTTTACTATGGTAAAAACTTTGGAACTTTGATTTACTATGGGAAAACTTTGGAACTTTGATTTACTATGGTAAAAACTTTGGAACTTTGATTTACTATGGTGAAAACTTTGGAACTTTGATTTACTATAGTTAACTATAGTAAACTATAGTTAACTATAGTATTGTTTTGTTAGGGCAGGGTATAATTGCCACTTCGTTTTTTGTCATTGCAAATCAACAATTTGAATCAGTTTAACGTTCTTCTCAAATTTTATAAAAGAAATGTAAGGTATTTAGTTCACATGATCTGTTAACGGGTAAACATTTACAAATATACCAGGAAGTAATTCGTAGTACTGTAGATTCCTAATTATACGCGAGGAATCAATTTCCGCGTAATTTCGAGAGAAGCGTCACTCGCGAAAAAAATATTACTCGCTTTTATTGTTATGGTGCTGAAATCTATGTAAATTCTGTTGATCAAACGTCCATTCGCGAATTATAATTCTCGCAATTTGACGTTAAAGACCCAGTTCGCGATAAAATGTCCTCGCTAAAAATACGGAAAATACAGTATATATTACGTTGTCATGGAAGCCATGTTGGATCATTAGGCTAGAATATAACTTTTTGTAGTTTTAACATGTTTCAATACGTCACTCAGATATTATTGCTATTGTCAAGTTGGGAAAAATAGATTTATTAAAACGAAGTGAAGAGCAACTTTAAATCATACTGATTTATAAAATAAATCAGTGCAATTATATAATTCATTCTTAATATTTTTTTCAAACAAAATGGTCGTGGGGCAGTGAAAAGAGTAACTGCTCTAGAGTTGTGAAGTAAAGAGTTCATCCTTACGTCATGTGTTCAATTTCCTTTGTGGGACTCGGAGACCGGTCCTTCGGATGAGACCTTATAAGCCGAGGTCTCGTATAGCAGTAGGTGAGAAATGATCATTCCTGCTCGATGTCCCTGCATGTCGAGTAGAAGTCAAAATTTGCAGCCTTCGACGGGCAGATGGTGTCGTCTTAGAATGAGTAAAATAATTCTCAAAAAGGACATAACCGTTCACGGTAGCCTAGTGGTAGAGCGTTCGCTTCGTGATCGGGAGGCCCGGGTTCGATTCGCGTTCCCGGCGCCGCGTCAAACCTAAGACTTAAAAATAGGTAGCGACTGTTCCTTCGCCAAGCGCTCGGTATCAGATGTGAAAGTCACGGGTCTTTCGGATATGACCTTATAAACGTAGGTCCCGTGTCACGGTAGGCGCTGGCACGATAAAGAACCCTCACTGCTCAATGGCCCTGAATGTCGAGTATAGGTCTAAATTTGAAGCCCTTCACCGGCATCGTTGACGTCTCCATATGAATGAAAAATTCTTGAGAGGGACGTTTAACAATATACAATCAATCAATCAAAAAGGAAATAAACAAGAAGCAATCCAAAAACAAAGTTTACTAAGCTATATATTTCTTTAAAGGGGATAACTGTTATTATATTCCTTCTGGTATTACTAAACATTTTAGATTTCTACAAAATCACACTTAAAACTAAAAACGAATTGGACTTTTTAATTGTTCATATGTCATATAATTAATACTGAACTCATCACTGTTTATTCTATCGTACTAGACATTAAATAAAATATTAGTCGTTTAAACGATCTTCTACAGTCAATGAATACCTACAGAAAGACAACAGTGACTCATTTATCCCCTGAACTGCATTTGAAAAGTATAATTACCTCTCAGTTATTGTGTTTCCCAACCAATAATTTGAATCTATACAAATTTATTTCACTTTTTCACACGGAAGAAATTATAACAAAATTGTCAGATATTTAAATCGCATGTCCTAGTTAGGGGTAAACAGCCAGAAGAAAGACAAGAAAGTAATTGGTAGTGTCTATAGGATTCATAGGAAAGTCATATCGGGTTCTAAGGTAAGGAAATTGCATGTTTTTATGCGTCATTTTATGTGTTTGAAATTTTCAAATGTAGTAAATAATTTAGTAAAACGAACAAAAAATCACTTTAAACCTTACCGATTATATATGAATTTAAATGAAGTGCATTTATTAGTTGATTCTAAATACCTTTTGTCCAACAAAGTATATAAAACAATATATTTCTTCAAAGGGTGTAGCTGCCATTATTTCTCTCCTGACATTTGGAAACTGTTCAGATTTCTACAATATCACAATTAAACTAAAAACATGTTGGCTTTGTTAAAAATTGCTTTTCGTTCATGAAATTAGTATTCATGTAGAATTTATCAACTGTTTACTCTATTATATCGGAGGTTAAAAAATTTGATGTTTTTATGCATCATTATATGTTATTGAAATTTTCAAGTGTATTAAATACATTTATTGAAAAAGAAATAGACGATTTAGACACATACCCCCCTCCCGACCCCAAATGTCATTTGCCGAGTATAATTGTGTACATTGTAATTGCTACCTAGTTATTGAGATTCCTAACAAATTATTTAAATTGATTAAATTCTTCACACAAAATAATTATAAAAGAAATGTAAGGTTTTTAAATCACATGACCTAGTAACAAATAATTAAACAACTAGAAAAGTACAAGGAAGTAATTTAGTTTATTTAATTAGCATATCAGTTGTATTCTACTCTATCAGACATTGAATAAATTATTGGTAGTTTCTAGGATCATCTTCAGTCATAAATGACAACAGATAGACAACGGTGACTCATATACCCCCCCCCCAACTTCATTTGCGGGTTATCATCACCAGTATTGTTATTCCCAACAAATAGCTTGAATCTATCTAAAGTTCATCAAAACGAAAATGGAGAGCCAATCTCATTTAACGCTCAGACAGTTAAAACTAAAAACGTGGTTTTGTTAACATTTTTTTAGGTCATGTAATCATTGTAATCTAAGTCTCCAAAAAGTTTAATATATAATTACAGATGCATCGACTAAAGTGAACTTAATCTCAAGTAATGGACCCTCAGTACAGTGCCCAAGAAATCCTCCTCTGTGACCTGTGTCAAACACCTGCATTACAGAGTCATTGTGAACTTTGTCATGTAAATCTCTGTATAGTCTGTGTTGGAAAACATCTCTCTGATTCATTTAAAAGACACAATGTTGTGTCATACAAACACAAAACTTCTGCTCCTATCAACCCAAAATGCCCGAACCACACCCAGAAACACTGTGAACTTTATTGTGAGAAATGTGACATTCCTGTTTGTTCTTCCTGCATCTCCTCAGGGAAACATAAAGGACATGATTTAACTGATGCTCTGCTGAAACTTAGTTCTCTATCAGCATTATCCATTACGAAAGATAAATATGGCTACATAATGAAGACACCGGAAGCTGCAAAATATCCTCCAGTTAAATCACTGCTTGATGAACCAGAGCTCATCACCATCATAGGCACTGGATATGACAGACTATACAGTCTTACATGTCACAGTGATAAAGAAATCTGGACATGTGGGAATAAAAAAATAATGAAGCTCTTCAATATCCAGGGAAAACTTCAAAAGTCCATCAAAACCAAGTCAGGGAACAAACCACGTGACGTAGCAGTGACAAAAAGTGGAGATCTTGTTTATACTGACTCTGGTACAAGAACTGTAAACATAGTGAAGAATAAACAGATACAGGAAGTTATCAGATTACAAGAATGGCTACCTTACAATGTCTGTAGCACATCCAATGGTGACCTACTTGTTACCATGGACAGTGATAATAAACATTCAAAAGTTGTTCGTTACTTTGGCTCTACAGAAAAACAAACTATTCAGTTTGATAGTAAAGGCAAACCTTTGTTTTCATCTGGTTACTACAGTAAATATATCAGTGAAAACAGAAACCTGGATATCTGTCTGGCAGACTGTGAAGCCAAAGCAGTAGTAGTGGTCAATCAGGCAGGGAAACTCCGTTTTAGATACATTGGTCATCCCTATTCTACCAAGGAATCATTTAATCCAGTCGGCATCGCAACAGACAGCCAGAGTCAGATCCTAACAGCAGACTATAACAATAACTGCATCCACATCTTAGATCAGGACGGACAGTTCCTCAGTTTCATTGATAACTGTGATCTTCACCGCCCATGGGGTTTAAGCGTAGATACATGGGACAACCTCCTTGTGGCTGAGCGCAACAGTGTTAAAGCAAAGAAAATCAAATACATGAAAATTTGGAATTAAATCTCTCTCTCTCTCTCTCTCTCTCTCTCTCTCTCTCTCTCTCTCTCTCTCTCTCTCTCTCTCTCTCTCTCTCTCTCTCTCTGGTAACGCGAAATAAACAAATGTGAATAGATGTTAAGTAATAATTTTTCCTGTAACACATGAGTAGCATAAGTCATTAATTTTACAACCAATGGTTAACAGCAGTTATATGTGCAATCTGATGAAAAGTAATGATAAAAAGATATTTGCAAAGAGTTATAATGGAAACAAGAAGAACGCATGCCCAGCATGTAGAATGTGAGTTTTTCATCTGAATCAAAAGTAAAACCAAAAATCCTTGAAATTTATTATTTTTGGTTTGTTGAAACTTGTTTTGCTGATTTTGAAGTGTTTTTTAACCAAAAAAATTGCACTAGAAGCGAAAATGAGAAGGTAAACAATTTTGTTTACATATTTGTATTTGAGCACCAGTGAGCGACACTCACGCGTTTCATTGTAACATTGTGAAGTATTGCTAGCCAGTAACCCAATTTAAAAACAGAAGGCTTCGAAGATATTGACACTAACACCATTAACGCCAGCGCTTTCAAAAGAATGTAAATGTGAAAACTTTCATATAAGAGAATTCAATGTATAACTAATATCCAAAATACTCTAGAAAACCTTTAATTAAGTATTGATGGACAGGATCGCCATTGTAATGTTCATATCTTAAAATAGTAATTCAGATTTAATGTTCTCCCTCGTTTAGGAATTTGCTATACCAGCAGAATGTTATATGATAAATACAAATTCAGTAATTGATGTTGACAGTTTCAGCCACGCCGATTTGTGTAATCATTTAGTTATGTAGTTTAGAATTAGAGCGTTAAACCGATCATACGTGTTTTCTGTTATAAGTGTCTAGAACACGGACAGTATAGCCATCTTGACGAAGTAACAAAGGACATTAGAGGAAAACATGGAATTCAGGAGAGATTAGAAAATGTACAAGAACAGTAGAACGATACGATATAACCCACTGAGTTTCAGGAAAAACAGAAGGTGGAAAGAAAACTTAGCCGAATGAAGGATAATATTGATCCGTGTAACACTTAACAATTCAAATTTCTTAATTGATTTAGAGATTTAGAATGTTCATACATTAGTTCAAATTCCTAAGTTTAAAAATGCAGACTGATTTGGTATATTGAAATTTTTTATTTTAGTTCAAAAAATTAAATCTTCAAATTTCCAAATAGGTTTTATAATTTGAAGATTTTAGGAAAGTTTTTAGATTTTTACCTTATAGATTCAACATTCAAATTTCAAAAAAAAAAAGAAACTTATTTTAAACTTAAGAGTTTTTAACATATCGTTTGTTTAGTAAATTTACGCTTAATAGTCTAAAGTTCAGTACAGTTTTGATATCTCAAAATTTACTCAGTGTGACAGTAACTCAGACCTATGACTTACTCTTAGACGGCCTTATTTATTTATAAATTTTTCTTTTGTTGTTTATTTCACACAATTTTTATCAAAATTATATATTAAAGATTATTCTCAACTTCCCCTTTAATATATTGAAATTCAAGGTTATCTAAATTTCCCTCTAATTTGTTTCATTTAACAACCTGTTTTATACTATGTCTATATGAATAATGACTCTAATAGGGCTCTGAAAATCCTCGGAGTACTGTTACGTCATAACGTAAAACATGACGTCATAACAACAGAGAAGACGCTGTCAAATCACCATGTCAGATGGAAATCAACAGAGTAGATTACAGAAGAATTAAGGTAAGTTCCTTAGCTAATATTATAAGATTAGTGTTAGATACATTACTAAACTTATATATCACACGAACACTTTTTTGTTTATAAATTGGAAAATAGAAAAATACATATCTACCGGAAATGGCGAGGACAGGTTTGTCGTGCTAGAATGAATGGCCAATTCATTACAGAAACAAACCTGCTTGGAGTTTGGGACTAGAACCTGATGAGAGTTCCCTTTCAAAATTACTGGCATTTTAGCCGACATCTTTTGGCCTTTTGACTTCTGTTAAAATTATAATTATGCTATAGCACAAACCAAAATTTATAAATTCAATTTGGCTAAACTCCTTCCTGGTCATTTTCTTATTAAAAGAATATTATGATTATTGTGATTTTTCTAAAACCCCTCTCGTAAAAGAAAATCAACTTTATATTATACATTTACTTACAGAGATAATTTGTTGTGGAATTTTTAATTAGAGTTTTTGTGATCAGAATGTTTCTAGGTCTTAAAAAAAGTATGGAAAGTAATTGGTCTGAACGGTCACACGAATAAAATACTTCAATATAAAGGGTCCAAAAAAAACAAGCTAATTCAGAGAATTTGTGTCCCCCGGTTAGGGAAAAAGTCAACAAAGCAGAGTTCGGGGGGAGGGGGGAGTCGGATCCCCCTGACTGAATTTGTAGAATTATTAAATGTATACATGTATACTGAAGCAAATAAAATATGGCAATATGGATATAAATATTTGATTCCTTATTCTTTATTATGTGTATAGAAGACTCTTTTTTATGGAATATCTAACACACTGTAATGATGATCTTATGAGTTTGTACAGGCCACACTTCATTTCATTTCACATGCTGAATACTATTATTTAATTTTAAAAAAAGTATTTCGGGAAAAAAAAGATAATGAATCGTCTGGGAATCGAACCCGGGACCTCTTACATGTGAAGCGAGAGACATACAACTGGACCACTGGGCCACTCTACAAAGAAGCAAATTATATGCAATGATGAAGTCACATACATGTATATATTCATATTCGGTATTGTCAAAATTTTACACAATCCATGGTATTTGTTTTATTTAGCCTTAATTAAACATTTCTAATAGATGTAATAAGAACAAATAACGTCCGCCGATAACCTGTTTTATACGCAATAACTCTCCTCATGTCCCTGTGCTAGAAAAAGCGACATGTCATACTATAAATACTGATAAAACAAACGGGGCGGGGCACTTTAAGAGGGGTGAGAGAGGTCCTAGGGAGTTCTGATACAGAATTACATTGCATAAGCTCAAAATCTTCTTGAAATATCGTCCGGAAATGATAGTGTTACACACAGACAGAATGTATAAATTCACGACCTTAAACTTTGATCTTTTGACCTCAAAATCAATAGGGGTCTTCATTAGGCTACAGGGAGTTGTTATATAAAATTTCATTGCAATAGCTCAAATGGTTCTTGAGATATCGTGTGGAAACGAAAGTGTTATAACAGACAGAATTTGCTTATTTATGACCTTGACCTTTGTCCTTTTCACCTCAAAATCAAAAGGGGTCATTTTTAGTCCATAGGGAGTTGCTATGCTAAATTTCAATGCAAAAGCTCAAAGGGTTCTTGAGATATCGTGTGGAAACGGTAGCGTTACAGACAGACAGAAAGACTGACGAACGGACGGACAGACGGACAAACCCAAATTAATGTTCCCCACTTTTCAAGCGGGGGACAAAAATACAAAATATTATGTTTATCAGGAATTAAAAGATTAGTTATTAAGTAATCTTTGATTAATCCTAATACTAACAAATCGTTTTAGGTGCCTGCATAATACACTAACCTTTGTTACCATCCCCATACAGACTTTGGACGACATTGCTTGCGATCATAACATAAGTTTCTCGTGGACTTTGAAGAACATTCATTGTTCGAATATATGATGCATTTTTTTATTGTTTCATTTTTAATCCTCTGTTACTAATGGCCTTGATGAAGATACTTACTTTTACAATCGGCCACTGACTTTTACAATTTAAACAAAGACCAACCCCAATTACTAAAAATGTAAAAGTTAGCTGTCGAATGTAAAAGTAAGTACCTTTTTTTAAAACTCCAATATTAACCTCTCTCTGTCTTTGAAAATATCAATGTATGTTTTTTTGTAATTCATTGACATGGAGCACACGGCGGGTGTGACCGGTCGGCAGGGTATACTAACTCCTCAATGGCACCTCTGATGTTTTGAAGGTCCGTGTTTGCTCCGCTCACATTTGTATTGTTATATGGACTTTGGTATTGAATATTGTTCGTTTTCTCAATAGCCTCCATTTTAACTACTGAACATGTATCTTTGCTAGTGGACAGTCTGTCCCCGAGGATAGGTACCTATTCATTCATGAGTATACAGAATAACGAAATGCTGGCAGGCGGGTCGCCCAGTATACAAAGGTGTCACTCCTTTAAGTCTAATAGGAATACAGACTCATGTTATTCATTTGTTGCACCTCAGATAATCTTTAGGGATATTACACATACATATATCTCATATGAACAGCCTTTTTCATATATAAAAAAATGAAAAGTTAAATGTGAAATATGCCCATTTGACAAGTATGTGTGATTTACACTCCAATGAGCTCCATCAACTCATTCCTTGAATAAATCTAAAAACGTTGTATTCCTTAAATACTGTAAATCTTAAAATGTTAATGACGTTCTTTTTCTGAAGTTACAGATGTGTATGCTGAAACTATTTATCAAAAAACAGAAAATTCAGAAAACACAAGACAAGACTTAATAGAAAGAAAAATGTTTCATACATAAGACACTTCAGTGTATGTATACAAAATGGAACATTTTAGATTGAGTTATTCTTTATAAAACTACATTTTTTATTCTAACCTTGCTGAATATATTGCATCTAAGTCTTTATTAAAATGGTTCGCCATGTGCAATTGAGAAAAAAAGTTGACATAAATGCTATTTATTTGTTTTCTTTTATTAATGTTGCTTGTTTATTGATAACATGGCATAGAAACATTTTTTAATTATGTGGATAAGTGAATTTGCTGTGTATCTGGGACAAAAAATTGAATATGTGTAGATATACACATTATTTGTTCTTAATACTGAATCTGAAGATACAAAATATATTTGACATGACAGATAGAAAATAGGAAGGGAAATTTTGAAATATGAATGCATTTGGAAAGTGACGGTGTTTGATATGAATTATTTTGCTTCTTCGCATACAGCTTATATTAAAAATTAATATAAACCAATCCACGCATTAAACATATGACGACTTTATCATCAATATATGAATAAAATGAAATGTTTCCTCATGATAACAATAAGAAGGAAAGCTTAACCAAAAGAAGGAAACTAAACAAGGAAGAAGGCAGAATGTTCATTTGTTAATTAACAAACGTAATACAATAACGGAAACCAAGCTAAACTTGATTCAGTGTTATTTTCTTTTAATCAAAGGTTGGGACATATAATGCAAAAATCACATGTATTACTTGAAGAGTTATACCCCACCTAAAAAATGAATGAGAGATACACAATCGTACACCGTAAAAGACGTATTACAATAACGAAAAAACAGGAAATTTAAAAACAATTACATGACTTGCTTTGCAATAGAAATTTTCAAGCATATGTACCAACAAAATTACAAGTACACTGTACTTCCTAACTACTGACAATTGTATGTCTGGAAATTGTATTGACCCTTAATTTTTAATGCATGCTTTAATTGCATTCCTTTACAACAAAGTTCAACATTCCAATTCCAGAAGACAAACACACTGAGTATTTTCTCTATATAGTACGTAATAAAATAACCCAATATTAGGGACCAAAAGCCATATACCTAAAATTAATTTTAGAAAATAGAGGTCCTTGACCAAAGTCCTGATGAATTCTAGAAATGTTTTATAAAACATCGTTTCAGATGCGCATTAGATTTCCACTGTCCGAAAAGTTGAATTTGGACATCAGATATGATATCGATACTCCTTTTGACTTTGTCCAAATTGTTGCAC